TTTTTTTTTTTTCGAGAATCAAAGGAGAAAACAGTTGCCAGTGTTTAAGGGGCGCTAAGTACATTATGGACATTATCTCTTCCTGCCCCTCACTATATATTATGATAATAGGGATACCTATTGTTAATCCAGTTTTAAGGGTGAGAACATTGAGGCTCAGAGAGGTTAAGCACCTTGCCCAAAGTTACAAAGCTGCTAAGTGACAGAGCTAGGATTTGGCCTTAGGCAGACTTCTCCAGAGGCTGGGTGTTTCACCACAGTGCTGACAGGAGCTAGTGTGGAGGGGCAGAAGAGGGTCCCTGCAGTCAGAAGTCACGCTGACCTCCTTCCTGATGCCCCTTATTCTGCAGCATACTGTGCTTCCACTTCCGTAACTCATGGCTGATCATGACTTACCCGCCACTGCCCTGACTCCTGCTAGGCCGTAAGCTGTGTGCCAATGGACAGACTGCATCTCTTTTATGCTCCACTGTATCCCCAGCACTCAGCATAATATCTGATGCATAGGAATATCCAATAAATATGTGTTAAAAGAATAAATTTAACCTTTTAGAGGGTTGGGGATAGAAGGGGTTAGCCAGAGGCTAGCTAGGTATTGGGTCTTCTGGACTGTTGATGACCATTGTGTTAAAATGCATCTCCGAGACCATCCTGGCCAACATGGGGAAACCCCGTCTCTACTAAAAATACAAAAATTAGCCGGATATAGTGGTGTGTGCCTGTAATCCCAGCTACTCAGGAGGCTGAGGCAGGAGAATCACTTGAACCAGAGAGTCGGAGGTGAGCTGAGATTGCACCACTGCACTCCAGCCTGGTGACAGAGCAAGACTGTCTCAAAAAAAAAAAAAAAAAAAAAAAAATGCATCTCAAGAGGTCATCTAGTCCATGACCTTGCTTTAGGTTCAGCCATTACCCTGCCATAGCCACCAAATCTGGCCTGGCTTTTGGTCCTTGGAAGAGCTGTTCCTCCTTATTGCCTTGATTTCTCCTCTCTAGCCTGAAGGGTTCAACTGGCTGTTCTTGATGTCTCTTTCACCCTACCAGTGGATTTGGGGGTTCATGAAGAGGCAAAGCACTTTGAAAATGAGCATCCCCTCTGTTTGAATCACCAGCTCTGGCCCCATTCCCAAGACTGCCAGCTGCAGGGGGAGTGTGCACTCAAGCCTGACAGAATTGCAACGCTGGGCTTTCTTTCACAGGCAAACCAGGCCTTACACAGTCAGAGGAAGCTGGGCTTCCAAGTCATCCCCTAGGAGGCCACACATCTACTCCAATGCTGCTTCTGGGGCTCACAAGAAGCTCTGGAAACTTCTTGCAGGGAAGCCTTCTAGATGGGCTCCAACCCCTGCAGGACACACAGTCTCACTGCCAAGGACCCACATCTCTCTTCCAGATCAAGGCTTACTCCCCACCTGGCCCCGCTCTGTCTTCACAAGGGTTGGCCCTTAAAGGCTCTTGGTCATTTCCAAAGGAGCAAGGCCACCCTAAAGGGCAATGATTCACCCCCCATGGGGATTGTCAGAGCATATGCCTCAAGCTCTGAGATGATTCCAAGAGTTTCCAGAAACATTTGAGTAACTGCAGCACATTGGCATGAGCATCTGGCTTCCTGGGGGGCCACTTGGATGGGGTCGCTGCTCCTGTGGGTGTATAACAGCAGTCTCTGGCCTTACCTTCTCAGAACTGTGTGTATAAAAAGTGTGTGTGCCTCGCGTTTTCAACAAGCCGGAGTGTGCCTCTGCCACACTGGCCAGGCAGGGAGAAAGGCAAAGATGCAGCTAAGGACCTGGGGCTCCTGGGTTCTAACCCTGTTTCTGAGACTTCCCGGCTGTGTGACAGGAGCGCCCTCAACTCAGAATAACAGAATATTAGAGCAGAAGAAACCTGCATAGTCACCTGGTCCCCTTCATTTTGAAGATAAGGAAACTGAGTCCGGTTGGGGGTTGGAGGAACAACCCCAGAGTCACCCTGAGAGTTGGTAGCAGATGGAGGAATTGAAGCCTGACCGTTCATATCCTGGCCCAGGTGGCCCATCTTAGCAACACCTCTCTATATTACCCTCCCCTTGAGAAGTAAAATAAACACCCTAATACTTGCCTTCCCTCCTGGGTGGTTGTGAGGGTTAGTGGGGGTGAGAAGGGTGGATAGATAAAAGCAGAAAGTGCTGAGAGCAACAAAGAGCAGTCCCATTAACCCGGAGTCCAGCCCCGAAAATAGGGGAGGGTGAGAGTCATTAAGTGACTGCATCACCCAGTCACATCCCTGTAACTTTAAATATTTCATGGAGCCAGCAGTGCACCACATACAGCTGCTGCTCCTCCAGCCCAGGCTGTGACTGCAGCAGGGCTGTGAACACAGGCGCCTAACATAGAAACATGCAAGCTGAGGGAAGGAGTTGGGATGAGGCAGGCTCTAACTCTTACTCACTCTAGGAAAGGTTCCAAGAGCAGGTGTCAGGCCCTCTGCAGTGCCCCAGGCCTGTGTGTGAGCAACCCACACCTTCATACACCCACCGGCCCAACAGGCACTCACATAGCTATGGACATAAATAAAAGTCAAAATGACAATAAACACACACCTTCACAGACAGACCCAATCCAGCTTACCCGGCACCAAAAGCTGCACCCAACCACACTCCACCTCCCTGCTACCCATAAACGCTTCGCCCACTTTCCCCCGTCTCCTCCTCCCAAAGCCAGTACTGGGAGCCATCGCTCTTCCCTCTCCCTCCTCTCTCCTCCCCTGCCTCCACCCCAGCACCAGCTGCTGCCAGGACCCCTCTTCCCACACAGCCCCTCATCAGCCATCTCTCCAGAGCTCAAGCTCTCTTGGTCTCTCTCCTTACCCGTGGCTTTCAGGACAAAGGACTCTGAGAATCTGGGACTTGAGAAGGCAGCATAGGGTGGGTGAGAGACTTCGGGAGGAATTTCCATGACCAGACCAAAGTTTGAGGGAGAGCAGGGAATCCGAGAGAGGACTAGGCAAGCTGGATGACTGGGGTGGGTGTGGAGAGGTAACCCCTCCAAGAGGTGACCACCCCTCAACTCTGCCATCCTGCTAGGAGATAACAACAAAACCAGCAGCTACAATTAACTGAGACCTTCTATGCACCAGGTATGCTACCCTAGATGATACTCAACCCTAGGAGGTGGGATCCTCTGTTTTACAAATGAGATGGAGGCTCATGAGAGAAGCCTGAGTCCCCAGACATAGGGATGTGGGAATCCTGGCTTCACATCCCATGGCCCTGGTAGAATGGGATGGGGAATAAACAAGTCACCTATTCAGAGGATATTTGGGATCCTGCTCTGTGGATGTGTGGTTAGGAAGTGGGGTGAGTAGAAAGGAAGCCAGAGCGAGCAACTGAGCCCTAATGGGCCAGGTATCTCCCTAGCCCCCAACCCTTATCCTCTCTGCTTCAGCGCCTTCACAATCTCTTTCTCCACTGTCACTTCTTGTGGGGGAATCTGCGCAAAGTTTGGGAATGAAGGGAGACAGGGAAACCCAACCAGCTGTTTTCCATCTGGCCCTGCCACACCAGAGAGCAAAGGGGCCATGCAAGTGCGGGCTGGGTGTCGGGAGTCAATCCTGGAGTCCAAGTAACAGCAAAACAGGGGCCAGTTAACACGCAGACAGAGGTCCAGCTGGCCCACTGGGTCCCCATAACCCCAGCCTTACCCTGAGAAAACTGAGCCCGACATGTGTAAAAAGATATGGCTGGGGGGAGGGCAGGACAAGTTATTTTGGGAGGTTAGAGGGGAAGGGGCCTTGTGAAATCAAGGTCCGGGAAGGGCTGCCCAGGAGAGGAGGCAACTGAGAGTTGAGGCTGATCCCTTAGAGGAGAAGATGATCATGCGGTTCTCCAAGAACCAGGCATAAATCTGTATGGAACTTGCCAGTTGCTTGGTTTAAGACTAAAGAGACAGACCCCTTCCCCTCTTCCAGGACTCCCTGTGCCCTCCTCCCCATCCCCAGTTCTTCTCTCCACCTTCTCCTACCGGAAAGATGCATCCAGTCCTACCCCTCCCCTGTGCCCCAGCACCTCCCCTCCCCCTGTCTAGTGATCCCCAGTCCTTAGACGGCACACACCAGCTCCTGTGAATATCCTGTCTCCCTCACTGGCTTGTATTGACTGGCATCAGTCTTCCACCAAACTAGTAAGTTCTTCCCATAGCCTAACCTCCATCCCTTCAGTTACAGCAGCTCCTTTTCAGTATCCTGCCAATACTGAAATTGGAAACCAACCCTATCTGTAAACAAGCCACCCACCAAAGGAGTTTCTCTCTCCATCCCCAGGCATTTTCCCCTTGCAGGCCTTTCACCTACTTTACCATCCCCTAATTTAGCAAGCAGAAAGTGAACTCGATTTCACAAGCAGGATTGGCTCTCCACCCTCGGTATTCCTTTTGCCGAGTCCCAGATGGGTCCTCTCTCCCCAAGCCCTCCACCCACTCTCACAGGCACTTCAGGAGAAATGCGCCCTCCGGAGACCCTCTGAAGTCTTCAGTTTCCTCTCCCTGGCACTGAGGGAACACAGGACCGGTGTGCAGACTTCTTATTTCCCTCCAAGTTTTTACCTCTGCCTAGTGTTTTCCTTTCAAGGGAAAGTCCCTCTCGAAGTCTAACTTTAATCCCTCCTGCTGCATGCCTAAATCCCCTTTCCATCTTTTCTCTATAATACAACCCCCTTTAAAATCATAAATGCAATCTTCCTCTCACGTTTGCAGTCTCCTCTCCTGCAGCGCCCCTCTACTTTCCCAGCCCCTACAACCTGCTCCGGCTAGGACAAGTTCTTCCTACCCGCTCACCACCCCAACGCCCTGCCCAAAACTCCGAGGACACTGAGGTATCTGCCTGAGCTGTCCACTACGACGGCTCCCGGGCCACGCCCGGACTCGCCGGCCCTTGGGGCGGTGACCCCCGCAGTCGCCGGCGCAGCCACGACGGGGTTAAGGTTCCGGGCTGGGGGAGGGGGAGGGGGCCGGGAGGGGCGGGTGCGGAGCCAATCGGCGGCTGCAGAGTCCCCGGAGCCGCGAGCTGGGAGCGGTGTGCTGGGAGCCGGGAGCTGAGCGCGCCGGGCTGGGGCCGGGGCCGGAGCGGAGCGGAGAGGGAGCGCGCCCGCCCCAGCCCCGAGTCCCGCCGCCTTCCCTCCCGCCGCAGCGCGGGCCCAGCGGCCGCCGCCCCAGCCATGGAGCAAGACAACAGCCCCCGAAAAATCCAGTTCACGGTCCCGCTGCTGGAGCCGCACCTTGACCCCGAGGCGGCGGAGCAGGTGCGGAGCAGGGCGGGGCGGCAGGGCACTGCCCAGCCAAGGACGAGGAACCCCTGGACTGGTGGGACCCAGGATCCCTGCCTAGTCTTCCCTTAGCAGTGCGCCCTTTTGAGGACGAACGCTCAGTTTGCGGGGGGCGGTGGGGGTCTTCTGTCCCCTCCCCCACCGTCGGAGCCACATCTCGAATCTGTGCTTCTTTGAGACTGACCGAAGGAAGAGCGCCTCCACTCGATGCCTGGCCCCGCGAGAGTTGCTCTCTTCCTCCCCAGCCCTGGGGGAGGGGGCCTGTTTAAGGACACGACCCCTCCCTCCTTAAACAACCCTGCATCCCCCACCCAGTCAACCCCCACCAGAGTTTCTGAGCTTGGTGGTGGCGCTGAAGGGAATCAGCAGCAATGCGGGAGGGGTCTGGGGAGGGGTCGGTAATGGAGAGGGAGCCTGGAAGGGTGGGAGTTGGAAGAGGAGAAACAGCTTCCCTGTCTCCTCCTAACTGGGGGCCACCTTGCTGGGCTCCGAAAGTGATAACGGGAAGGGACTGAGGACCACTGAGAGGGCTGGGGCTCCGGGGAGAGGGGAGAGGGTTGGTCGAGTTGTAGGCTGAGGCTCCGTTCTTCAGGTCTCCACACATGGTCCTTATTCCCAACTCCTGCCCTTTGGAGTGGGGAGTCCGGGTGGGACAGAGCCAGCGGCACTGGGAGGCCAGAGGTGGAGTCTTTACAGGGGCTGGGGTCCAAGCTGAACAATATGCAAGGGAGAAGCACTGTGACAGCCTTGGCTCAAGGGTTGGGAGTCCAGGGCCCTGGCCCAGCCTCCTAGCCTGGTCTATTTTTAGCTCAGAGCAGCCTGGCAGAGGGGGCAGTGTATGAGAGTGTGAGCAAGTGTATGCTTCCGTGAGAGTGAGCGTATGTGTGGAGAGGGTGGCCACCCGTGGTCCTTACTACTGCTCATTTGCCAAATATTTGCTTATTTGCCTATTGCTCCATCTCTTTGTAATCTCTGTCCATTTGCCTAGACATTCCCATTCCTAAAGAATATCAATTTCCCACAAGGTCAGTTCTCTGTTTCTCCCAACAAGCTGCCAGGCTCTGGCTAGCCACCGCCCCCCACCTCTCTCTCACACACACCCAAAAAAAACTTTGTGACCTCTTGGGATGAGGTGGAGAGAGTGTTTTTTGTCATTTTTGTTGCTCCAGCTGTTTGGTAGAATAAGGTCTGATGTGAAGGGAAGGGGGCCGGGGTACACACACTCTCTCTACCACTTTGCCTTCCCAATGTGGAGACAGGATTTGGTACCTGCGTCTCCATCCACCCCCTCAGAGCTCTAAGGTGGGAGTACGCGAAGGATCTTGAAGCCTCACAAATCTGTAGAGGATGAGGACGGAGAGCCATCAGCATGGGGTGTGTTCACTGGGAGCCAGGGGAAAGGCTGCTATGCCTGGAGGCAGGGCATCAGCCAGGATAACCTCAGACCCAGGAAAAAGGGCTCAAGAGTCTGGACTGTGGAGGTTGGGGATGCCGTTCCAAGGAGAACTGCCTCCCACTGGCACAGACAGGGCCTGACACCTGTATCTGGTGTTGGAGGAGGCAGGTGTAGTGGGTGGGTAGGGAGGAGGAGGGGAAAGGCCAGCTGGTTCAGGGATCTAGGAGACAAGGGAGGGGCACAAGACAATCCTGAAGAGTCAGAGGGAAAAAGAGAGCCAGGACTTGGGCCTACTTTTGCTAATCTTCAGAATCTGTGTCTCGAAGGCCTGAAATTCTTCCTGCGGCCTGACCTCAGCCCCCCCTGCTGTGTTAGGCAAACAGCTCCAGGCTTGGCAGGTGCTGCTAACCCAGACCAACACGGGAGGGCAAAAGGAGTTGGAAGCTCTGAGTTATAGAGCACAGAGTGGCAGGGGGTGGAGGGGTGCCCACAGCTTCCAGATCCTTGGCATGACTGCTTTGGAAAGAAATCCAAGGCGAAGGTATCACATGCTCCTGACAGCTAGGATTTGGGATAGGTGTGAGAAAAAGAAAAGAGACCATCTACTTATTTCCCACTAGTTCGGGTGCCTGGGAGGTACCTCAGGAAGCCTGACTTTCCTCCTTTCGCTGTAAGGATATCACAATTCCCAAGGACTCTGAGTGCTTAGAAACCTTGTCCAAAGGAAAGGAATAGGTTAAGGAAGTGATGTGTCCAAGACCAGACAGCCCTGCTGCCCTCTGTCATACTTGCAGTCTCCTTCTTGGGCTCCCCACTCTGATGTTATCTCAATCCACTGATCGCCACTCCACCCTCTGCCTGTCTCTTCCGCTCTTCTACCACCATCACACGCTGCCGCTCCAGGATGGAAAGAAGTAGAAGAGTCTTCTAGTCGAAGGATGGCCCCCACCCCATACACATGAAACAGATGGTCCCCAGCCCATGTGTATCAGGAATGTCCAGAGATGACTGACAGTTAATGTCTGTGCGACTCATCCATGTGCACACTTACACACATACACAAAGGACTGGTACTGCAGGGACCTTGAAATGTCACCAAAAACAGATGCCACTGAATTCTCCTGGGAAAATGATGCCCTACCCCCACAGATCCCCATTCTATGCATCATGTTTCTTCTTTGGAAAGAGTCCCCCCTCAGGCTTAAACAGCCCATCTTGCCATAGCCAGTACCCCCCACTTTTCTGGGCATAGAGAGGGGCAGTGTTCACCTTCGTCATCCTCCACGGCCAGTGGTGATGATTCTAAATAATGGACACGCAAAGATAAGAGTTTGATCATTCAGTGTCCTCACCCTACTCCTCTCAGCCCAGGATAATTTTAGCCCTTTTCCCAGTCCCATTAGCCTTCCCTCCCCACTGCTAACCTAGAGGGTCATCCTCTAACCCCCATCCTTCCACTTGCTTCCAAGCCTCTAAAGCCTCCAGAGAAAGGGGAAAAACTACACCTCCCAGGAGTCCTTGGACTGACTTCAACAACAATCAACTTTATTGGCAGCATGACAAAAGAACAACAGTGGAGGCAAGGGGACTCAGAGGCAAGGCAGTCAGTCAGCTTTATATGTTAATTTCTTAGACTGGGACCTGGAGCCTAGGATAAGATTTTTCAGCTAAACTTTGGGCCCTGGCCAGTGTCCTGCCTAGGGCTCCTCCTTGTATTGACATTATATTTACCATGACAAGGATTCCCCCAACCCTATTTCTTGACAAATCAGAAAGGCAGTGTATCCAAAGATAGAGAGGACATTAGGGAGTGAGGGGTGCAGGTCAGAGGAGATGCACATTCAGATCCTCCTCTGTGCTGTCCTCCCAGGCTGGGGGTTGCTTGAAAAGGATGCTCTCTCTGGGCACTGTCACACAAAATGTTAACGTCTGCTTGGGGAGTGGGTTAGAAGACTGAGAGAAAGCGCTGTGCCCTCTTAAGTTATTTCTGACCATTGATCCAGGATGGACGGAAGGACAGCAGGCCAGAGATCAATGCATTAGAGCAGATATAGCTTAGATGGAGAGCTGGAGCCAGGACCAGGGGGAGGTGGAGACACAGAACAGGGGAATGGGGGTGTGCAGGGAAGGGAAGTGGTCTTCTGGGTCCTTAGGATTAGCTCTCCCCAGGGAAGGAGGAGGAGCCCAGGGATATTCACCCTGGGTCAGTCAGTTCAGTATAACATGGCGTTTTCTTTTTTCAACTTTTCTTTTAGATCCAGGGGGGTACATGTGCAGGTTTGTTACGTGGTGCTGAGGTCTGGGGTATGATTGACCCAGAGAGTGAACCTAGGACCCAATAGGTAGTGTTTCAGCCCTTGCCCTCCTCCCTCCCTGTCTTGTATTCCCCAGTGTCTATTGTTCCTGTCTTTATGTCCATGAGTACTCAATGTTTAGCTCCCACTTATAAGTGAGAACGTGCAGTATTTGGTTTTCTGTTTCTGCGTAAGTTTCCTTAGGGTAATGGCCTCCAGCTGCATTAACATGGCATTTTTTGAGGTGTGTTAAGTAGGCTGGCCTGGATTATGTTACTGAGTGGTTTTGGGTGGGGCTTTGATGCTTCCACGTGTACTTGACCTCTTCGCCATTTCCCACCTTCCCTCAGATTCGGAGGCGCCGCCCCACCCCTGCCACCCTCGTGCTGACCAGTGACCAGTCATCCCCAGGTAAGCCAAGGGATATGTTACTGAAGGGGGTGAGGGCCACTATGGCAACAGGTCCCAGTGAGAAGATGGGTGCTAGATGGAAGAAGAACAGCTCTGAGAAGGTGGGGATGTCCTCAGTCCTGCAGGCAGGAAGGTGGTGGCTGGATTGCAGAATATCCTTTGCTTTGGGAAAGATGGAGCAGTGCTAGGAAGGGGAGGGAGACCACCTGGCTCCTAAGCCCCCCAGGAATTGGGGTGGTCAACTGAGTGCTGGTTGCTGCGGCAACAGCCTTCCAGGTTTCTCCAGCAACTGAGATGCTGCTACCCCCACCCCCAGAGGCAGTGTCAGCTGTGAGGGGGAGGGACCGCCTCCACCAGCTCTTCACAGCCCCCAGAAAGGGAGGGGAAGGTTAGAAGCAGCTCAGGGAGCAGCTGAGATTCTGGTCACCTGCATCCCCATCAAGGTATGGGGAGAAAACAAGGTCTCACAGAATGGTAGGGAGCTTGACAGGGGTGTGGAAGAGAGGGGGTCAGGCTAAGAAGCTAGGCTGGTGCTCAGGATGCCAGGGTCTCCAGCTTGCCTCCACCTATACCTTCCAGACCCTGCCCAGAATACATTTACTGTTCTCTATCGCGGTTCCCTCCTATGCAGGGCTTAGTTCTGGCTGACCCTGGGGTGGAGGAATGATTGGAAAGAGAAAGAGACATGATACTTCAGAGGAAGAAAAAAAGCAAAAAGACCACAGATCCTGCCTTTAGGGGTCTCCAGGTCTGAGGCAGAGATGCAGACGCAGATGGACCACAGAGCCAAGGACAGGACTAGATGCAGGGGGATGGAGGCAGTGGAAGCACAGGAGAGGAGCTGCGGGGAGGCGGTGTGGGGCAGCCATGAGGGCCAAGAACCTGGGGGCAGATGTGAGGGACAGATCAGGAGGAGTGCGGCTGCAGAATCCCCTCCCCTGAAAAGTCAGCTCTATGGGGATCCCTGGTTTCCTGTCCTTATCACCCTCTCCTTTTCCTATTCCCTTCAGAGATAGATGAAGACCGGATCCCCAACCCACATCTCAAGGTGAGCGGGCCCATCCCAGTAAGCCCAGCCCAAACAACCCCCACACTCATTAGGGGATTATTCCTTAAAACCCTGCTGCCCATCTCTAGGATCTTTTTCACTCTCACTTCCCTGTACCCCTACCCCCCAAATGTGCATGAATGAACATATACACATGCACCACACACACACTCACATACACTCACAGTCTCCTTGCTCACCATTGTCCAGGTGGTTGGGGAAGCAGGAGTTTTCTTCCCCCACTTTTTGAAGCTCACACCTACCCCAAGCTCCAATCCAAAAGCCTGGCAAAGCAGAAGAGGAAGGCAAGGGGGGCTGGAAGGCATGGGGGACTAGAGGGCAAGGGGGGCTGGAGGGCAAAGGGGGCTGGCACCTATCCTCTGTGCCCTTCACAGTCCACTTTGGCAATGTCTCCACGGCAACGGAAGAAGATGACAAGGATCACACCCACAATGAAAGGTTCGCAAGACCCCTGCTATCCCTTTTTCTCCTCTACGCCTGAAGCTGGAGAGTAGACCGAATGCCCTTTGGAAGGGAGGTCGTTAAATCTGCCTTTATTATGGTAGAACTGTTGCTAGATGAACTGAGGCTGAAATCCCAGTTTTGCCACTGACTAGCTGGGTGATCTGGGAAAAACTGCTTAACTTACTGAGCCTTGAATACTACCTCATTATGGCAGATAAAATAATATATGTGAACTCATCGGCACAGTGCACATGTACAAGGTACTCAGATTTTTCTTGAATCTAAATTGAGCCTTTCCACCTTCCCCCAGGGAAGACCATGTATCCCAGCAAGTGAGGAGTATCCCTTGTTCTTAAAGGCTCTTCTCCTACGCCTCCCTTGTCTGTGAAAAAGAGTACTTTTTATGGTCTAGTTTTCATCCCTCCTTACTGCCAGCTAATGTCCCTTCCTTGTTCAGATCTCAGTGGATGGGAAAGTCAAACCTAGCCATGTGTGCTGAGCCTTTAGTGGGGCTGTTGAATCTGGGGGCCCACAGGGGAGATGCTAGGCAGTCATATCCAGTGTTCCCTCCCTTTCTGTGTGTCCCCAGAGCTCCAGATGATGGTTGAACATCACCTGGGGCAACAGCAGCAAGGAGAGGAGCCTGAGGGGGCCGCTGAGAGCACAGGAACCCAGGAGTCCCGCCCACCTGGGATCCCAGACACAGAAGTGGAGTCAAGGCTGGGCACCTCTGGGACAGCAAAAAGTATGTTCAGGCTGCCTAGTAGTAGGCAAAAACCGTCTCAAGGATGTGGATCTATTTGCATGTTCGGCATACATTTGAATCTTTACTTTTCCTTACTGAGTGACACCAAGCCCTCCCAACTTGAACCTCAGAGCCCCACTGTGGCTACATGGGGGGACCCACCTTCAGGGGAACAGCAGTCACAGGCCTGAATCCTTGCTACTGGCTCTGCCACTTGCTACTTTACCAGCCGAGAGGTCTTGAACGACTTAACCTCAGAGTATAAAATGATAATGAGGGTGCCTGTTGCAGTGGGTTGCGTGTGACTATTAAATGAGACTGGCTCTTGGCACAGCACCTGACACATACAGAGCATGCAATAAGTGGAAGCTGGTAGCAGGGCGCTATGTCCCTTATCCTAGACATATTCCAGAATTCAGAACGCCTCCAATTTTGTGAAGATACAGTGCATAAGCTGTGTATCACATAGTATTCCCAGCAGAGAACCCTACAATCAAACACATAATATTTCTGCAACCCAGTGAATGGTCTCACTAAGCAGAATAAAGAATAAAAATAGCCTCCTATGAGTTCATGTCGGGGTTAGACACATATTGAGTTTTGTTTTTTCAACTGTTTTTTCAACTGTTTCAAGGGTTTATTCTTTCCAATCGATTGAAGATTTTGAAAAAGTGAACCTATAGTAGTAATTGTGAAAAAGGAAAACCCTGTTGGTCTTGCCTGATTGCACCCAACTTGGTCCTGGGGCTCTCTCAGGGGCCACTGGGGTCCAGATGCAGTGAGGAGAAGCAGTTCCCTCCCCAACACCTTTATGAATGCCACCTCTTCCACCCCTATTTTCCCTCCCCAGAGCCTGCAGAATCCATCCCTAAAACTCAGCAGAGAGGCAGTAAGGAACCCAGCACAAAGGAACCCTCAACCCATATACCACCATTGGATTCCAAGGGAGCCAACTCGGTAAGACCCCAGGGCTGGGCTGCCAGGCCGTAGGAGAGGAGGCTAATATTGTGGACAAAGGCAAGGGGGCAATATTTGGAGTCTAGGAAAAGGAAAACAAAGAACCAGCTTCAGTCCCTGAAAAGTTATTCTTTATGGTGAAAGGACTTGCATCTCCTCTGACAGACAAAGAAATGGATAGCTGCAGCAAGAAGGTTTGAGATTAGACTTTGTGTAGGACTTCTGGCTCCTGGAATGGGTGAGAGCAGTAGGTCGTGGATTTTTTGATAAAGGGGATTTGGAACCCGAAGGGAGATCCTCCCCTGCCCAGCTGAGGTGGGCAGTGGCTCTCCCTGCCTGGAGGATGCATTGATTAGGGAACTTCCTGAGCTTTGATTTTACAATCCCCAGCCCCCTGCATAGACTGGACACGGGAAAGACTGCTCTCAGACATCAGAACAAGTTTTCTGAGACATTAGATGTTGACAAATGGGATGGCCAGAAGGGGAAGGGACAAAATGACCCTCTGGCCTCTCAGCTTCTCTTTCTGTCCTCCTTCCCCCATAACAGGTCTGAGAGAGGAGGAGATATCTTGGGATCAAGACTGCAGTTGGGGAATGCACGGACACCGGATTTGTTTCTTACTCCTTCACTTTTGGGGAAAATCTCTTGTTTTTAAAAAGTGATAAATTTGGTGTTAGGTCCTTGGCACTTTCCTTCTTTCCCAACTTGGAGAATCCTTTCTCCCTGCCTTCTTGCCCTGCCCTCTCTGCAGCCCCCACCCTCCTGCCAAGCTGCCTCTGGGAAGGAAGAAACAGAGGAGCTAGGCAGAAGCCTCGAGCAGGGAAGAGTTCTTCCCCTAGCCCTGACTTTACTTGCTGTGGGAAGAGAGATGAGGGTCAGATAGGTGGGAGGACTAACTTCCAGGCTGCCAAGAAGGAAGAAAAGCCCCAGGTTCTCTTTTCTTATTGAGGAACGATCTGACCACCTCACAGGCCTGCCCTGCAGCTGGAACACTCGGCGCTCTAAGGCCTGTGCCGTGTCCAGTTGTGACTGTGCGGTGGGCTCCATCTGCTGGACAAAAGGGGAACTGCACCATGGCACTTGGCCCATGGGATAGAGGGTGTGGTGGTGTACGGATACCTCCTCACCCGCCCTCCAAGCCTCAGCTGCCTTCCTTTTGGATTCCCAAGCTTCAGGATGTGTTCCCTCTTCCAGCTGTGGGACCGCTGTCCGTTATTCAACCCGTTAGCAACAATGGATAGAGAACACAGTGGCTATTAATGAAGAGGCCCATGCTGGAGACTGGAAGGGTTCCCTTGTCCTAGACACTGAGGACAGATAAGACAAAAACCAAGCATACGAGAAGAAACTGTCTCAGATCTCACGGCCAGGCCTCTCTCCTGCTGCTGTTTTTGATTTTCCTAGGTAGTGGGAGAGAGGAAAGGAGGGAAGGCAAGATTCTTTCCCCCTCCCTGCTGAAGCATGTGGTACAGAGGAAAGAGCAGAGCCTGAGAAGCGTCAGGTCCCACTTCTGCCATGCAGCTACTGTGAGCCCTCGGGGCCTCCTCCTGGGCCTCAGCTTGCCCAGATACATACCTAAATGTGTGTGTATATATATATATAAAAGGGAGAACACCTCACCCAGATTTTGTCCCGCTGGAAAGAGTGTATGTATGTGAAGATGCTTGGTCAACTTGCACCCAGTGAACACACGCAGTCAGGCCTGGTCTCCCTTCTTTATTGTTCTCTGGCTATAATAGCAGGGGTCTGGGAGACCAAGGGCAGGGGTGAGTCACATGCATCTCTGCCCTACTCGGGGTGGGGTAGGGTGGAAGTATCAGGGTAGCAGGTCTAGGAGACCATGGATATGGATTTTGCATGAACAGGGCCCACTGTACAAATGCATGGTTGGTATTTACAAGAAAGAAGGAGGGCAGTCACCTGGACTTTGGCCTTTCCCGGGGCAAGGTGGGGGCAAGGAGGAGCCTGAGGAGAGGAAGGGGCACCGCGCCTGGCTGAGTTCTCTCCAGAGGACAGGAAGGCAGCAGCCCTGAGCCCCTCCTCCATCTGCCTTTCACCCACCACCCCTCACTTGTCTCAGGGGAGGAGCTTCTTAGTGCCGACAGCTGGGCCAGTTCTGGGAAGTGGAAAGGAGGGGACAGACCCTCTCTTTTAGCAACGTGGGATTACTGGATTATACCTCACCCTCCCCAGGCACCCTTGACCCTAACCCAGCTGGTGTCGATACATCCCGAAGGTGCTTTGCTGGGGAGATCTCAAAGCACGTTACAGACATCGGTCGGATGGGAGCCTCCCAGCCCCAGGCGAGAGGAAGGAGGCAAAGGGCTCAGGACTCAGCCAGGGCAGGTGACAAGCCCCAGGGTCCCAGACCAGTCCCAAGGAAGGTCCCAGGGAAGGCCTCCCGCAGCCCCTGGTCACAATGGCTCCTTTTTTCCCAGTCACTGTATCAGAAAGGGAGAGAAGAAAGATTGCAGAGGATCAGGCTGGAGATGGGGCTGAAGCAGTGCAATTCTGGGGTGAAGAGGATGTCCTACCCACCCCATTCCCAGGTCCTAGAAAGGTACCATGCCCTGAAGGAACCCACTCCCCTTCCCACACATAGGGCTCTGAAAACCCCCAGATTTCTATCCTATTCCAGCCCTTCCCAGGGGAGGAAAAGGGGGACCCAGACCTGCCAGCTAAGATCTGGGGTGGGGGGGCTGAGGGAACCCCCAAAATGTATTGCTTAGAAACTTGGAGGCAAAAAAGACGGGGGAGGTCCCAGGGGGCTGGCATCTCTGACCCTCCCCCAAGGCCCTGGGAAGCCTCCAGAAAGCTCCCCGCTCCCTGGCAGCCACCTGGCCATGAAGAGAATCCAGAGGCTAAGGGACGGGCACAGTGGCCACTGGGAGCCTGAAGTTCCCCATTCTTGCTGCCGGGACATTAAAGTACGCCCCAGTGGGTGTCAGGTGGGGAGGGGCCCTTTCCCCAACCCCAAATCTCTGGCATTTGGCCTTCGGGTGGGTTGTTTCTTCCACAACCACGCTCCCTTGGAGCAGATGGGGGAGCCAGTCCTGATGGATGGTGCTGATGACATCAAACACTTTGGACTCAATGAACACCTGGGGAAAGAGGGAGGAACTTCAGTGCCCTGAGCTTGGCCTTCACCTCCAACCTGACCTTCCTTCTCCAAGTCCTGATCCCCACTCAGTCCCGAGTAGAGTTGTGCAAAAAATGCCCTTCAGAAGGGTGCCTAGCCAAGGGGGTGAATAGGGGCTGAAGTCGAAGTCATGTTTAGCTGCCCTCACTGAGCCGTGTGCCCTGGCTGGGCTCCTTTTTCCTAACTCTCCCTAAGGTGCGGTGCAGGTTAGCTGTCACCTGGCGTGGGCCCAATGTTCTGCTGCTTTCTGAGAAACTACCTCCTTTCTTCCCGCAGGGACTGGGGACAGAAGAGGGTGGGAGGATTTCCCTGCTCCACCCACACTTTGGCTCCATTCTATGTCTTCACTCCCTCCATTTTACTGCTCAAAAGAGGGAGAGAGGATGTCGCATCTGTTGGAGCCCAGAGACGACCCAACAAAGATGCCACGATAGACACCAGCTCTGCTATGCCCTCCACCACAACAGGCTCACCCGGGCCAGCCCCAGGGCTAGTCCAGATTCCCATTTTGATTGTGTTCATCTTCAGCAGGGGATGGGGGTGCCTCTTCGTCACAGGGGGACAACTCGTCAATGGACATCTGGTTGGTGATGCCTGTAGAGGAGCATAAAGGAGGCTGAGCTTAGGCCAAGAAGCATTCTTCCCCAGAACCCAAGGAGTATGTGGAGAAACAAGGGATTCTCATCCATCAACCTGCCTTTAAGCTGAACTACATTCAACCCATCCCCACTTGGGACGAGCCTCTGTAGCCATGCTAAAACTCAGAACCCGCAACACCACCCTACCACCCCCTCACACAGGAAGAGATTTCCCAGCCAGGGCCACCAAATTAGCCAAATCTGCAGGGGCACCATTTACAGGGACCACGGTGTGCACACGGACCCTTGGGTTGTGGAATATCTGGCTGTCTCTATCACCTCTATAGCCCCCATTCTTAGAACATCCCAGGTCACTGGCCAGTCTTTCCTGTGATCTAACTGGTCTGATCAGCTCCATTCCCAACTCAAGGAGTCCGGCGAAGGGTTTCACCAGGACGTCCTGGTGCTTCATGATCCACCCACACAAGTTCTCACCCCCACCCTCTGCCACGGTGCCCACCACTTGCTGCCCGTTCCTTCCATTTCTGCTTGTTCTCCTGAATGTGCTTGATCCAGGTGGAACGAAAGCTGACCACATCAGGGTTGGGGTCTCCCACTTCCACATCCAGAGAGGGCTGGCGCCACTGAAAGCTAGAAGCAGAACACCCCAACAGCCCCAAGAGGTAAGACCCAGCCCACTCCAGAACCACCTTAGCCCACTCATGGAAGACCAAGAGAAGGTTCAGGGAACTTTGTCTTCCTCTTTTCCTCTACTAGATATTCCCCAAGTCCCTGTCCCTCTCCCCCTCATTTCACCCCTCCCTCTCCACATCTTCCCTCCTGGTAGAAGGAAAATTAAAACAAGATTCTCCAGAAGGCAGTAAAGACAGATAATGGAAGAAACAAAAATATGGTCAAGGGGAGCATAGGCACAGGTCACACCCTTCTGATCCCATCCTTCTGCCCCTGACGGCAGAGGGACTCCCAAGCTCGAAGCAGCCTGCCTCCCCACCACCCCACCACAACTGTGAGTCGGTCCTCTCCGTGAGTCCAACTCCCTCCCTACCACTGCCTTCCGGAACCAGGACAGCTGGCTACCCCAGCCACCCTCACCTGGGCTGGTTTTTAGACTTGGAGTCCTCATCCGCCAGGGGCTGAACACTCTTCTCTGCCACATCAGTCAGCACAGAGAATGTGGGCTCCACAATGAAGTCAATGAACCCTGCAGTGGAGGAGCAATGCCATAGAGATGTCTCACTTTTATCTGGAGGGCTAGGCAGAGGATGCAGCTGGCATGGCCAGGACCCCTGGCTCCTTATGAAAGAGGCTGGAGAGGTAACCTGGGGCTGAAAACTTCCCAATGCGGGGCAGGCTTTGGGATGATGTCTTGGTGCCCCAGAGAGCTCCTCCCTGCCATTGCAGCCCCTGGCCTCCTATCCCAGGAGCCCATGCTCTAGCACAGTAGGCTTTCCTCTACAGGAAGAATGGTTTGGGGGATTGAGGACTTGGAGCAATCCTGACCCAGGCAGTATCTTTTCCCCTTCCCAGTCCTCCCCTTCCTGCAGGAGAGGACACTCACCTATCTGAGACTGTGCCACCAGCGTGGAAGTGCGGTCACAGAGAGGAGAAAAGGGCAGGCCCAACTCTGCCTCCTTGTCACCCTAGAGGAGAGAGCAGGGTAGGAAAGCTGGAGAGGATACCTCAGACCTACCAGATCTGGGGTACAGGTGGCAGGTGGCAGGGGTTGGGGGTTGTGTGAAATTTTTGCAATGTTGACCTGGAAATTAGTAATATGCAAATGAAATATATGCAAATGAAATGCAACTATTGTTAGGCTTTTAGGATAATGGGATTTTACCCCAAGGATTTGGTATCAGGTCAGAGACTACAGGTAGCAAAAGGAGGATATGGAGTATAAGTGGGGAACTTAGAGGGCAAAAGGGGAGAGAAGGCCCCCATAGGCACAGGGGAAGCAAAGATGCCGCACTACCTGGCGGAAGAATTCCTCCATGAGTGCCTTGGTCCAGCGGCTGTGGACTGACCACTGCTTGGTTGGGTGGCTGATGTCAGCAGCATGGAGCAGTAGCGATAGGGCCTTGGGCTTGTCAATCCTGGTTGGGGCAGGTGGCAAGGGAAGGGAGACTGATCTTTTAGGAAAAGGAAACCTGGACCATTCCCTAATTTCCCATGCACACCCTATCACATAGCTTCTTTTTTGTTGTTGTTGTTTTTTTTTTTTTTTTTTTTTTGAGACAGGGTCTCACTCTGTTGCTCAAGCTAGAGTGCAGTGACACAATTTCAGCTCACTGCAACCTCCGTCACCTGGGTTCAAGTGAGTCTCCTACCTCAGCCTCCTGAGTAGCTGGGACTACAGGCGCACATGCCACCACACCCAGCTAATTTTTGTATTTTTTTGGTAGAGACAAGGTTTCGCCATGTTGGCCAGGCTGGTCTCAAATTCCTGACCTCAAGCGATCCACCTGCCTCGGCCTCCCAAAGTGCTGAAATTACAGGCATGAGCCACCACGCCTGGCCTCACATAATTTCAAACACCCTCCAAAGCTACACACACACACACACACACACACCCCACACACAGACACACACACACTTATATATGTTTAGGTAGCAGCACAGGTTAGTAGCTAAGAGCCCAGGCTCTTAGAATCAAAGGGCCCTGGGTTCACATCTATACCTACCACATGTTAACTGTGTGACACTGTGCAAGTCACTTAAAATTTCCATATTTCATTTTCTTCAACTCTAAAATGGAAATAACAATCCTACGACATATCAAGTAGTTCTGAGAATTAAGTGACAAACAAGAAATAAGTACTCAGGAGAGTGTCTAGCACATAGTAAGTGTTCAGTAGATATTATTTAGAATAGTAATAATTATTATTATACCCTCAACAATGACCCGCTATGACACTGCATACTCTCCCACACATAAACACCATACACAGAGATTAACACACACCTTCAGGACACACAGAGTCCACTCACACACACATTTATACATTCCCACCCACTTTTAAGCAGCATTAGATGCAATTATGGCATTTGTTCTGTGCATTTGTTTAAACCTCATATGACTCTCCCAATAGCCCTAGGAGACTAGGAACTAGGGGGAAACTGTTGTTGGGGGAGGCATGTCATTTCCACCATTTCAGAGGTAATAAAACGGGGGTCCAGAAGGGTCGAATGAATTTTCCAACATTCCAGAGTAAGCCTGTCCTGGAGCTGCAATGAGAACCCCCATCTTAAATTCCCAGCCCAAAGCACTCTCCAGTGGATCAGCTGCCTAGGGTGTATGTGAACGTAAGGCCACACCCCCACACACCCCCACACACACCACACTTACACAGAGATGCGGTCGGATACCTGGAGCCAGTGGAGTCTCTACATCCAGGTAAAGACCTGGCACACCAACTACCCTTGTGTATACCCCCCAGTCCACACAGCCCTCCCTCTGGCCTGGCCCCAGCCACACCCCACCAGATGCCACCTCTCCAGCTGTTGCAAGGCTGTCTTCATGGTCTTCACTTGCTGGAAATGGCAGGACATGTCTGTGGCCAACACCATCTCGATGACCAGGGCTCGGAGCTCTCTGAGTGGACATAAAAAGAGAAGCGATCGGCCCCCTCCGTGCTGCTGGGCAGGAGGTCCAGGAAGTGGAAAATGGGGTTTATGGTAAGGGAGGCTCTTAGGGATGCCAAGTACTGGCTTCTGCTCACACAAACTCATCCTTGGTGAGGTTGATGAAAATGTTCAGCTCATCATCCTGCATCAGTCGGAAGACAGAGCTGATGTGGTGATTCTCCAGCACTGAACGATCATTGTACAGGATGGCACATTCTGACCTACAAAGCCACAGGTCATCATGACCACCCCCTGTAAAAAGGGACTCTGGCAACCTCCCCCACCTCCGCTTGGCCTCTCCTGCCCCTGCCACATCTCCACCCCTCACTTGGTCTGGATGTGGAAGCTGTTGGTAGTGCCCGTGTGCTCATAATCATGGATAGCTGCAGCAAAGATGATGGCCAGGACCTCAATCTCTGACAAGCAGTGCTACAGGAGGAAAGAGAAAGAATAAGAGAGGGCTGATGCCTGCTGGTCACTGCCCAAGAACCTCCACACACAGGCTAGACCACTCATCCCATCCCTTCCATGCTTCCAGGCCGGCTCTTGGTTCATGCAGCCAGGTTTCTCAGCTCCTGGAATGGCCAAGGACCTTCCTCCATCCAAACCTGCAACATTCCCATTGCATCCCAGCACATGTCCCTAGCACTGTCCAAGAAGTTTTAGTCTACCTGGGAATTCTCTAGAATGAGTTTAATCCAGTTCGACTCTGCAAAGGCTTTGGAGTGCCCAAGAAGAACCAAAGAGGAGAAATGGAAATGGGAGTACACTCTACACCTCCCAGTTCTGTAGCCATAGGCCCTGAATCACAGAAGAATCATCTCCAGGGCACTTACCACCATCCCTGTGCGGAGCAAGAAGCAATGGACTGTCTGGGTAACATCGGCTGCATGGATCTGGTTGTGGTAAGGATTCTTGTACTTCCCATAGCCTGTCTCCAAGGCATCCAGGAAACTCATCAAAAACACAGTGGGAATCTGTGGGGGGTGTGGGGGAAATGGAGGTATATCAAGGATCTGCAGGAATGGTGGTGACTACAGACCAAGATCAACAACCTCAGCTTTCTGTAGAAGGCAGTGTGGCATAGGGAGAGAGCACAGGACCTAGTCAGGCAAACCTGGCTCATATCCTGCCTCTACCACCTGCTGGCTGTGCAACCTGGGAAAGTCGCCTGCCTCTCTGTGCCTCAGATACTTAATTGCAGAATGAAGATAATACCACCGACCTGGAAATTAATGAGATAAGTACAAGGCATTTAGTAAATGCTCTCTAAAGAATAGCTATAATTATTATTATTTCCCTGGAGATTTCAAATAAAAGGAAAACTTCCCTCCTACCTTCCAACCACTCCACTCCATCCCCAAATCCAAAACCATGAAGAAGGGCTTGGAAGCAAGGGAATGAAGAAGATGACCTAGAGAGGACTCTTCCAGCCAGATGTGGGTTACCCTCTCCTTTGAGAAACTCTCTGACCACCTACCCTCTACATGCACCAGTACCCCCACCCTCAGTCCCACAAACACACACAAAAGCACCATGAGCCAGAGCTCTGTCCAGCTACTCTGAATTTGCTCCCTGTCTCTGTATACACCCTTAGGGTATGTCTGCCTCCTTCAGAAGGCTCAAGGCTCCCAGAGGACAGGACTAGTGATCTGTCCCTGAATCTCTGGAGGCTAGGAAGGGACAAAGGTTCAGGACTCGGGAGGTTTCTGTAGAGATGAGCAATACAGTGACAGAAGACACAGAAGCAGCACCACTAGTCAGTCAGACCCTAACATCCCCCACCTGCACCCCTGGAGGGCTGTGCCCCAAATTCAGGAAATTTTAAAGGACTGTTTCCATGACGACTGTCCTTGCTTTTGCGTTGCCATGGCGTCCCTGGAGGCAAGGGAAGAAAAAGGGAGGAGTAGGGGAGGGGCTAGGTGCCCAGGAAGAGAATGTGGAGTTTGAGAAGGGCAGCTGCTACTGGCCCTACCATCAAAGAAAACTAAAACAATAAGCACCGCCTCCTTCCTCTAACTGCCTTGGAGCAAAGCAGACTGGGACTGGGCAAACCCAACCCAAAACAGCTACTCTTGAGGTCCCCCAAACCCAGTACTTTCAGGTAAGGAGGCAGACTTTAGGAGAAGCTAGTGACTGAAGTCTGAGAGCCAGTTTGGAGAAACATGAGCTGGGAAAAGTCTTAGGAAAAAGACAGCCCTGGTATTCTCTGTCCTGGAGAGGGCAGGAGTGGAAAGAAGAGAGTAAAATTGCAGAACAGGCTTCCAGAAGGCACTTAAGAAAATTTCAACTGAGCATCTCAGGAAAGTTTTGGAAACTCCCTAGGGAGTTGTAAAAGGAGGAGTCAAGGGTGGAGGAAGGGCTCACATGCACAAATAATTTGTTCTAGTGAAGTGGAGGCAGAGGACGGATGGAATGACCTCCCAAAGATGGCCTGGGAGGGGACTCTCCACCTGGACTCCTTTGACCGCCCCCTCTATGGCCCTTCAGATCATCCATGTTTCCCTTCACCGTAAACACCTGCTGCTCCCCAAAGTGCTGACCCAATGTCCCCATTATGGCTCTTCAACCTCCCTCACCCTCTACTTCCAAATGTGGTTTTTCCATGTGAAAGTGTTTTCTTTTTTCTCCTGGCACTTTTTCCCTCCCAAAAGATGCTCCCTCCTGGTACAGGATCTAGGAAGGACTTTACTCTCATATAATTCTTCCCATCCAGACAAGCTGAAGAGCAAATGAAGTTCAAACATCGTCCCCCCGTCATACAACCCCACCCCAGCCTGTCAAGAGCTGACCTTCTCCATAAAATTCCTTGCACAGAGACCAGAACTGGGGGACAGGGGAGGGAGTGGTCAGTTTTATCCAGGAAACCCATGGATTCCAGTCCCAAAGGGCACTGGCTGACAGCATCTGAACTCCAGGCCTCCAGGGTCCACACTGCAAGTCAGCCTAGAGAGGACAAGCTGGGGGGGAAAAAGCAAAGCGAGAGGGAGCAGAATCCCAGGCTAGACGGTTGCAGACCTAGAATCTCCCCCTAGAAAGCAATTAATGAAGTCTGGAACTAAGACTGCAGCAAGTGACAGAAAAGGTAGACTGGGCGTGGGCGTGGGGAGACTTCCCTGCTGTTGAGACTGAGTGAGGGGATCTACGGAATCTATTTGTTGGGAGCCTTTTAGAACAGGCATGAGAGGAGTGAAGAATCCTGCCTGCAGGTAGAGGTAGGATGCTGCCCAACCTTGAAGCGGCTGATGAGGTTATGCCGAGTCAGCAATTCAAAAACAATGGTCCTCAGGGCATGGTCATCTGCTGCCCGGTTCAAGGAAAAGACGTCAAAGCACCAGAGATCCAGGTTCTGTGGAGAAACCATAGATTATGTTGCTTTCCAGCAGCAGCAAGGGTTGAAGTTAGACTTCAAGAAGGACTTCCCATGAGTACAAAGTCTTGATAAATAGGAAAGCAAAGAGATGGTGAAGTGTGCCTCTTTCTTCCCATATATCCCTCAGTATGGGAGAGACAGGAAGTCAGGAGTTTGCTCCTAGAGTGGGCAAAAGCTGTTTTGACGAATGTGAGAACAACAGTTAAAAGGGAAGGCAGGCCGGGCGCGGTGGCTCATGCCTGTAATCCCAGCACTTTGGGAGGCCAAGGTGGGCAGATCACTTGAGGTCAAGAGACCAGGCTGGCCAACATGGTGAAACCCCATCTCTACTAAAACTACAAAAATTAGCTGGGCGTGGTGGTGGGCACCTGTAATCCCAGCTACTCAGGAGGCTGAGGCAGGAGAATCGCTTGCAGGGAGGCGGAGGTTGCAGTGAGCCAAGATCACGCCACTGCACTCCAGCCTGGGTGACAAGAGTGAGACTCCATCTCAAAAAAAAAAAAAGGCAGGCAAAAATCACCCCATAAACAGGGTCTAGAAGTCCCAATGGCTATTCCATCCCCCAACCTTCTCCTCTTTCCCAAAAACCCAGAGATCACCTTGAAACAGTTGAGGACCGCAGTAGAATAAGTGGGGCCCACAGAGGTGTATGTTCTCCGGAACATCCTAAGAGAGAACAATGAGAAGAAGCCCACATATGAAGGTCTGGGAGTGGAGGTCTGGCCAGCTGGGGATATGGAGATGAGCCATGGGATCATATGGCTGGTGGTCATGGAAGACCAGGGTGGCTGGGAAAGAGGGACACAGCTAAAGGCAGAGGGAGGCTGAGTGTGGGCGAGCCTCACCGTTCCACGAAGATCCCCGCCTGCACAGCGTGCACAATGCTTCGGAACTTGGGCTTCTCCTCTGCTCGGCGGCCTTTGGCCCGGGCCTGCTGGGTGAAGGTGGAGGCCAGCCAGTCCCGCACCTCCGAAGGCACGGCATCTGACCGCAACTCCTGCAGCTCGTCCTCCGTGTCCAAGATTTGCCTGAGACCCCAGAAGGGGAGTCACAGAGGAAAGACAGCAGGTGCTTCCACAGCCCAGAGACCCTATACCCAGCCATACCCCACATTTAGTAACTCTCATGCCAGCTCTCTCTCTGTCTTCAACCCTGTTTCCTTTCTTTTTCTATATCTTTTTATTTCTCTAACATCTCCGATAATGAAACAGGTCTCTGTGTGAGGCAGTGAGCATCCCAACTATGAAAGCATTTAAGCAGGAAATGGAATGCATCTTTCAGGGATGCTATAGAGCAGCACCATCCAATAGAAATAAAATGCAATAGAAATAAAATGTCGCATATATGAAATTTTAAATTGTCTAGTAGGCCACATTAAAAAGGGAAAGAGAAACAGATGAAATTTACTTTAATGATAAATTTTATTTATTTATTTATTTATTTATTTATTTTTGAGACATAGTCTCACTCTGTTGCCCAGGCCAGAGTGCAGTGGCATGATCTCGGCTCACTGCAACGTCCGCCTCCCAGGTTCACGTCATTCTCCTGCCTCAGCCTCCTGAGTAGCTGGGATTACAGGTGCCTACCACCACACCACACCAAGCTGGTCTTGAACTCCTGACCTCAGTTGATCCACCCGCCTCAGCCTCCCAAAGTGCTGGGATTATAGGTGTGAGCCACCGTGCCCAGCAATAAATTTTATTTTACCTAGTACCTCCAAAATATCATTTCAACATGAAACCAATACTGTGTGTGTGTGTGTGTGTGTGTGTGTGTGTGTGTGTGTGTGTGTATTTTTAGACAGGGTCTCACTTTATCGCCCAGGCTGGAGTGCAGTGGTGTGATCACAGCTCACTGCAATCTCAACCTTCCCAGATTCAGGTGATCCTCCCTCCTCGGCCTCCCAAGGAGCTGGGACTCAGGTGCACACCACCATGCCCAGCTAATTCTTTAATTTTTTGTAGAGACAGGGTTTCATCATGTTGCCCAGGCTGGTCTCGAACTCCTGGGCTCAAGCAATCAGCCTGCCTCAGCCTCCCAAAGTGCTGGGATTACAGGCATGAGCCACCACACCCAGCCTTATAAAATAAATTAGAGATACCAGCTGAGTGTGGTGGCTCACGCCTGTAATCCCAGCACTTTGGGAGGCCAAAGTGGGCAGATCACCTGAGGTCGGGAGTTCGAGACCAGCCTGACCAACATGGAGAAACCCCACCTCTACTAAAAATAGAAAAATTAGCAGGGCGTAGTGGCGCATGCCTGTAATCCCAGCTACTCTGGAGGCTGAGGCAGGAGAATTGCTTGAACCCTGGAGGCGGAGGTTGCAGTGAGCCAAGATCGCGCCACTGCACTCCAGCCTGGGCAACAAGAGCAAACTCCATCTCAAAACAAAAACAAAAACAAAACAAAAAACATATATATATATGAATAATATATCTTACATTCTTTTTTCTAAGTCTTTGAAATCCATCACGTATTTTACATACACATCTCAGTTCCTACTTGCCACATTTCAGGTGCTGGATAGCCACCCAGGATGGTGGCTCCCATGTTGGGCAGCAACGTCTGGAGGCATTCCACACTAGAATAGATGAGCTTTAAGGCGCCTTCCAACTCTGAAACAGTCTTCTGTCCTTCTTGATATCTGTGCTTGTCTCTATCTCTGCATCTCTATGTTTGCTTCTGCTTCTTTGTCTCTACTACCACTATTTCTCCCTGGATACCTGGAGCTCTTTTTTTTTTTTTTTGAGACAGGGTCTTGCTCTGTCACCCAGGCTGGAGTGCAGCAGTGCAATCTCAGCTCAAGGCAACCTCTGCCTCCCAGGCTCAAGCCATCCTTCCACCTCAGCCTCCCAAGTAGCTAGAACCACAGGAGCATGCCGCCATGCCTGGCTAATTTTTTTTTTTTTTTTTTTTTTAAGAGACAGGGTCTCGCCATGTTGCCCCGGCTGGTCTCAAACTCCTGGGCTCAAAGAATCCACCCATCTTGGCCTCCAAAGTGCTAGGATTACAGGTGTGAGCCACTGTGCCCAGCCACTACCTAGAGCTCTTTATATCTGGTCCACCCTGTCTCTTTCTTCCTGTCTCTGTCCATGCTACACGTGTCTATCTTTGTCTTAACCCCTCTCTCTGGAACACTATGTCTGACATCTTTCTCCTTCTCTGTCTGTCGGTCTCTCTCACCGTGTCTCATCTATGTAGACGGCTTCCAGCAGAGAAGCTGTGTACTCCAGATTTTTCTTCAGCTCCTCAATGTTTACCTCCCCATTCTCCAACTGCTTCACCATGTAGCGCAGCCTGCAGGGAGCAGATACAGAGAGGCTGCTTAGGCACAGCCACCTTATCATGAGAACAGGATACCCCCTAATAAGGTACATTTTACAGAAACATCCTCAGTCTTTCGTAAACAGTTAATAATTTCAACATTAATAATAATAGCAGCTAATGTTCCTTTTTAAATCTCAGGCTATTGCCACTGCCTGTATTATCTACACCCAAAGTTTAATGCCAGGTTTTTCTGACTCCATCATCCCCACTACCAGCTGACCTCTCAAAACCCGCTTTTTAGTCAGTGCTTAATCTTGTTTAAAATGCCAGGGCCCAGCAGAATTAGGCAGGTACAAGCCCCTGGAGTTATGTTTTTAGGATGATCTGTTTCATAGCCTGAATAATCAAGAGTTGAAACTGCTTATTTCCCCCATGGGAGAGGGCTTTGGGGTCAATAGCAATCAAGATAGCCCCCAAGAGTATTTCATTGTCTCTTGGTCATGGTGTGGGGGGTGGGGGTTACATGTCCACAGCCCCTCTGTGCCTGGCAGGGATGGCAAAAGCACAGAACAAAGACAAATCTGAATGCTTTCGCCTGGCCTCTCTCCATGCAGGCAAAGCTAATGGATTATGATTCCAGAATCCATCAACCAGGACAAAGCCAGGTTAACCCCTGCCTTTCCAGTCTTACACCAGAGAGAACCTCTGACAGAGTTACCGTACCCACCCCCTGCCTCTGTCCCCACCGAAGCTTCCTCCAGGATAAAAGTGGTGGGGTGGGCCCAGGGATCTCACTCACTGGATGCTTTGCCTGAAGGAACAATCACCTCATGTTTTACACTTACAAATTCTGGGGTTTGATGATTAACTGGGAGACTTCTTAGAAGTCTGGTGAGTTCAGCCCAGGCAGTCACAAAGCAAACAAAGCTCTTCAGATGGTGATTTTAATGAAAGCAGTTAAACATTCCTTTCTCTCCTTTCCTTCACCCTGCCCCACCCACCTAAAACCAACCCGGGGCTGAAATGGTGGCCATCCTAATTCCCCACTGAGAGGGGCTTCAAAAACCCAAGGTCACCCTATGAGTCAGGGAGGAGAAGAGAATGAGTCAGGGACCAGAGGCTGAAATTAGCATCAATTCCCAGGGATGCCGGGGGAGGGAGAACAATGGCGTTCCTGAACAGAAGTAGCTCTAGAATCCCAGGGTCTCAGCAGCTTTGGAATCGGGGTGCCCAAAATAGCCACAGGCCAGTTCTCACCTCAGGGCCTAGTAGTCCTGGACAACACATCTGAGAGCAAATGGGACAGAAGGGAAAGTGGCAAAGAAGTTGGAGGGCTATCCTCAAATCTCACTTCCAGCCTTCCTGCTGCACCATCTCCAAGTGGAAACAGCAGGTTGTTTAACAAGAAAGAGGATGATTTTAGTAAAGCTCAGCCCCAGCTCCAGCTTCATTAGGGAGGAGGAACAGAGGCGAGATATCATAAAAGGCTTTCCCAGCTAAATGAGCTGGAAAGGGGCTATGAGCCAGTATCTCCCAGAGTACCCGGCCCAGAGATCACAGAACAAAGAGGTATGCTTTGCCTTTGGTGCCCAGGCACAAGCTGGGGCTTCCCTCTGCCAATCAGTCCCCATAGCTAGGGGCCCTCAAATCTGGGGACATAAAACCCAAAAAGGAAGGAAGTTCTCTTCTGCGTATAGTTCTCTCTCTCCCCCAGATTCCCACCCCAGCCTTCTGCTTCATTTGGCCCTTTTTACAAAAACTTTCCCCAGGGGTCAATGCCCATCACCAAAGTTCTTCCAGTTCCCTTCTCGACCCACCTTTTGAAACCCACATCCCAGCACTGGCTCCCAAAGTGAGCAGCCACGCCCACGGTACTTATTTGCATTTATTTGCATAATCGCTAACAATGCTGCCAGCTCTACATTTTTAAAAGTGCTTTCTCCTGCATTACCTCATTTTATCCTCACAATGGGCCTATGAAGGAGGGAGGCGGGGAAGGAATTGCCATTCCCATTTACAATGAGAAACCAAGGCTTAGGAGGCAGCTTTGGTGAGATGTATCCAGCAGCAGCACGAGTCTGGGAGGCAGGAATCCTGGATTCAAAGCTAGTACTTCCTGCTGTGAGCCTTTGAGCAAGTCACTAACTCTTAATCAGTACTTATTAAAATGTGGTCTGTAGACCACCAGCATCAGAATCACCTTGAATCCATGTAAAAAATGTAGATTCTAAGTCTAATTCCACAGCATTTCTGAGGGTACAGTCCAGGGATCTGCCTTTTTTTTTTTTTTTTTACTTTGAGACAGGATCTCACTTTGTCAACCAGGCTGGAGTACAATGGCACAATTGCAGCTCACTGCAGCCTCCACCTGCCGGGCTTAATCGATCCTCCTGCCTCAGCCTCCTGAGTACCTAGGACTACAGGCATGTGCTACCATGCCCAGCTAATGTTTATTTTATTTTTTGTAGAGATGAGGTCCTGCTATGTTGCCCAGGTTGTTCTCAAACTTCTGGCCTCAAGTGATCCTCCCACCTCATCCTCCCAAAGTGCTGAGATGACAGACACGAGCCACTGCACCCAGCCTGCTTTTTTTTTTTTTTTTTTTTTTAAGAGACACTGTCTTGCTCTGTCACCCAGATCATAACTCTGGACTTCCTGCAGAAGAACAGTGAGGTGAGGACTTGGAGTGGGTCTGGGGAGGTCTAAACTCCAAAACACTTTACAATAAGAGAAGGTCCTGCCAGGCCAGCAAGTACAGGTGTCGGGGGTGTTATTTGACTTCAGGAGGGTACAGTTCAGCACCTGGATCCTATCAGCCACTTTAGTCCAGATCCTCTTCTTAGACTTCTCACTTGTCATATGTATTATTTAATCTTCCTTTCCCTCCCTCCCCACCTCCTTCTGATGTCTGGATCATGTTTGGTTCAACAGATTTCAACAGAAGCTATACAAGAGCTCCTGGACAAGGTCTAGAAGTGGCATGATCATAGCTCACTGTAACCTCAAGCTCCTGGGCTTAAGCAATCCTCATCTTGAGGCCTCCCAAAGTGTTAGGATTACAGGTGTGAACCATAGTTCCCAGCCCAATCTGCATTTTTAAAAAACACCCCAGAATGTTTATCTTAGAGCCTCAACTTGTTCATCTATAAAATGGTAAGGATGATAATAAACATTTCACAGGGCTATTAATAAGAGGACTGAGTGATATAATACATTAAAAGGCCTGGCACATACAAAAAGTCTCCATAAATGTAATTTGAATAGGAATTGACTGATCAGCATCAAATCATGGTGGTCCTACCCAGCTCACACCACACTCCCTTCAAATCCAACAAGTACCTTCTCTCTCCCAAGTCCAGATGGAGAAGACTGAGTTGGTCTGGATTGAGGCTGGTAATTAGGAAGCCCCCTAACAGAGGAAATGGGAGAAAGATAGTAGCCATGATCTTTCCTTTACAATTACAAACTTCATTTGATCTTCACAAGCTCCTTATAAGGGAGGTTAAGTGACTTGTCTAAGGTCACACAACTCATCTATCTCAGTCAGGTTATCAAGGTCTACAAGACCTACATTGGAACCTAACCGTGTCCCCAAACAATGAAACTGTTAAGGCAGAACAAGCCTAATCATGCAATTAGCTTAGAGAGAGGCTGGAACCCATTCCACCATAGCTTCTACAGTCTCAGCCCGTCCAACCTTAATTAATTCTGTCGGTTGGCCCATAGGAGACTGAGTGTCTTGATGACGCTGACAGTGACTTGTTTATCTTGGCCTCCATCCTTAGAGTACACAGAACGTGCTCAGTAAAAGTTCATTAAATAAATAAAATGGAAAGGGGAAAATTAATCAGGTGTGAGGCTATCTCCCAGAGCTCACAATGGAGATTTCTGAGCCAGGGTTTCTAAAAATAACGGTGAGCCTGAGAAGAGTAAGGTTGTAGGCTGACTTCAAGCACACACTTCCCTCGGAGTTTCTCCTTCCCTCACTTACAGATCTTGTCCAGGAGCTCTTGGATAGCTTCTGTTGAAATCTGAACCAAACATGATCCAGACACCAGAAAGAGGTGGGGAGGGAGGGAAAAAAAGATCAAAGAATAAATTTGACAAATGAGAAGTCTAAGAAGAGGACCTGGACTCAAGCGGCTGAAAGGATCCAGCTGCTGAACTGCACCCTCTTGAAGTCAAATAACCCCTCCCCCCACACACACACCCCATACTTTCTGGCCTGCCAGGGTCCTCTCTTAATCTAAAGTCCTTTAGAGTTAGGATCTCCCCAGACCACTCAAAGTCCTCACCTCACTCTTCTTCTGCAGGAAGTCCTTCTATCCCACCAACATCAGTTTTAATTCAAGCCCTCTGTTTCAGCCATCATGGAATCTGGCACAGGAAAGGTGTCTTTCCCTGTAGAACAGGATGCTCAACCCTGTCCAGTCCTCATCTGGCCCCAAGGAAAACTGGCAGCTTCCCCCAACTTTCCTTCGACCTCCATCCCTGCCCGTTTCACTACCACCACTTCTTTCTGCTTTACCTTCAGTCCCTGCATGATTGGAAAAGCCTCAGATCGTGACTCCTGGAAGTCCACAGTCTCTCCTAGCTCCAGGCAGCCATTGGGAGGAAAAGACTCTGGTAGTTATAACCCCAACACCTCAGGAGAGTTCAGCTTCTCCAGCTTCTACAGTTCATTTATTTGTATCACCATAGCTGGTGTTCTGGGAATTTCCAAAGTCCCCTGCCTCTTCTTCCAGCACCCACATTCCCAAAAAGATCACCATAAGTAGGGGGCTTAGGACAGGGAAGCCAGAGAAGGACTTCCTGCAGAAGAACAGTGAGGTGAGGACTTTGAGTGGGTCTGGGGAGATCCTAACTCTGAAGGACTTTAGAATAAGATAGGGGATGGTAGTCAGGAGAAGAATTGTATTTCCAGTTGGGGTTCTTAAGACAAGATTAAATTTCAAAGGGATGTGAGGTCCTAAGGATGTTGGGAGTCAGGAAGGAGAGAAAAGGAAGAAACATTGATAAGTTACCTGCCACAGTCAAGAAGAAGCAATTTTAAAAAGGGAGGGGGGAATGGAAATGGGAGGGGAATAAGGTAAAGGGCAAGATGGACAGAGTAAAAGGTGAAGTTGGCACCCACACACACACACAAAACATATGGGGGACTGTCAGGTCTTGATCTCTCCACTTCACTAAACTACAACTGGTGGATCCATGAGCAACCTGTCCTCTTCCTCCTCCCCCTTCCTCTCCTCATCCCTGACACCTACCTGAGGATGGGGCCCTGAAGGTGGCTCCTCTGAACAGGAACAGGGTTTGCCATGGGAATCAAAGTTTCCTGCTTCACAGTATCAAAATCCTGACCCCGGGAGCCCCAGGGCCCCTAAGCGGGGATAACTTCCTCTTTGGCCCCTGCCTTCCTCCTCCAGGTCCCAGTAGAACTGAGCGACTGACCAGAGAGAACTTTGGGGAGGGGCCTGGCTGCAGGAAGAAGAGAGTGGGGAGGCAGAGACTCAGCCTACCGGAACTGGGTGAGAGGGGAGGCTGCGGGAAAAGTTTCACATCTGAATCAGATGGGAAACAAGAATCTGTTCTCAGAAGAAGCCCAGAAAGGACAGAAATAGCACAGGCCAGCCTCTTGGTCTGAGGAGGTGGGGCTCCTCTTTGGGAAAAAGGGTGTTAGCAAGAGGTTTAAGGGTGCAGGAACAGGGAATCATCCTGAATCTGTCACAGAGAGGAAGTCTGTAGCGTGAGGGGGAGGGGTCCTGTAAGAACCCCCAAAAGGAGCTTAGCAGACTCAGCTCCCTCTCAGGGTCTTTTTCTGGGGCCATTCTTCAAAATGAGCTTTAACCCACCTCACAGAATGGAAGTAAGACAGGGGGATGAACTTCCCACAGAGGATAAGAAACTGTAGGGAGGGGCTTCCTGAAGCTGTGTGTCAGGGGATCCTTATCCAGAGGCCGGCTCAACAGGGAGGGAAGGGCCCTCCACCCACAAGCAGAGAATGAAAGTCAAGAGAACTCGCTCATAGAAACCAAGGGGTTGGGCAAATTAACACCCCTAGCCCCAGTTTTCTCATGTGTAAAATGGAAATTGGGGAATAACCATGAATTAACCAGAGAGAGGTCAATCCTGCTCAGAGGTAAGGAGAAGCAACGAGATGGCCCAGGAGGGGCCAAAAGAGGCACCCAGAGGGGTCTGAGGACCAGGACCCCCTCTCCTGCCTTCAGACTTTGCTTTCACCAAGGTTGGGGAGGGAAGAACCCAATCGCTGCAGCTCCAAGTGGACGTGCGCACACAGTCCCAGCCCGCCTCCTGATTGGCTAGGAGGTGACATCACCAATACATGTACACTGGGGCCGTGATTGGTCAGCTGAGGAGTTGGGCGGGGCTAAGGGGGAGAGCCGGCGGGTGAAGCCCAACGCGTTGGGGAAGAGTTCGGGGATCTGCAGTCTCTTAGATCTAGGTCTCTGGCTGGGGGTGATGTGGTAGAGAGGAAAAGGAACTAATGGAGTTGAGTATGTCAGCAGAAAGGGAAAAGAGAAGACACAGGCCAACAGCTAGGATTTTATGACAGGAAGTTTTCCCTTTACCCCTACCCATCAAAAGCAGGAAGAAATTAAAATACTTTGTCATTATGCCAAAGCCTTGAAGAATTAGAAATAAATGAAGCTGGGGAACCTGCTGTTTCTCAGCTCCACCGAGTACTGGGACAAGTGGAAGTGGGCTTCGATCTCAACAAGACGAGTGGAAGTCAAATATCTTAAGGCTGTTCTCCAGTGAACACCTGGTAGCCGTGAAGCAGGGCTGCTGCAGATCTTGGGAGAAAGAAATCCACTCTCTCTGTATCCCTCTCTTTCTCTCTGTGTCCCACCGCCACTCTCCCCACAATGGCCACAAGCTGATGAGTGTTTTTAGAGAGAAAGGACTAGACCCAGTGTCAGAGCCCCTGAATGCCACCCGGGAGGTGAGGACAGGTCATTTGGCATGTTCTGTGGACATGCTTGCATTGCAGGATGGGACTGGGAGTGGGGGCAGATGGCAGTACACAGCCTGGAACACTAACAACCTCCAACCCAGGCCAGCTTCCCTGCCTCATCTTGTACCCTCACTCCAGACCCTGCCACTCTAGCCAAGTAAATGCTAAACTCAACTCTCCTAATGAAAAGTAAAGATTTCTTAGACCAGAAAAGCCTCGAAGAGGATATCTTGTCCATTCCTCTGCTCTCTTACCCACTAGAACCAAAGCTGGTTGGACGAATGGCTGCTCAACACTTCAGCCCACGTATGCATGCTGCATACTTTGTCCTAACCTGTTATTATTATTTATTGTTCCTAATAAGGAGGGATAGTGATCAACCATCATCCCTTCCTGGGGAAAAATTTCACACATAAACACTTACCCACACATATACACATACCCCACACTCTACCTCTAAAGAGACTGTCACCTGGCTGGCAGGCAGGACATAAATGTGATGACCTCAACAAAGGGTCCAGTATGGATTTTCTTTAGCCCTTAAATGTAGTTTAAAAATAGAAAGGAACCCAACTCTAATGCCTGCCCAGCCTGCAGTGAAGAATAAGGTTGAGGTAGGAAACAAAGGATGGGAGACTCTGTCTCTGGTAAGAAAAAAGGGGTGGGGGTGGGTGGGGATAAAGAGGTAGTGCTTGGGAAGGGATTCACTGGCTGACTTCAAAGCTCCCAAATCTCAGAAATTGAAAGAACCAAGGAAATCATCTAATTCCAATAGAAAGAGGGCATGAGTTTAAAATCAGGAGACTTGTCTGGCTAGCTCAGTTGAAAAGAAAAAACTAAATTTAAAAAGAAATCACAAACTTTTGCCTAGATTTTATTACTATGTGTGACCTTGGGAAAGTCACACTGAGCTTCAGTTTCCTGATCTATAAAATGGGTAAATAATACATGCTTCACAGAATTTTCGCAAGGACCTAGTGAGATATAGTATGAGAACACCTTGGGAACCCTAAAGTGATACATGAATGTGAAGGATAATTATTTAGTCCAAATCTTTAGTTAGTTCAGCAAATATTCATTGAGTCATTCATAAACAAAGTCCCATATGCCCACTCTTACAGCCAGGACCCCTGACTTTCCATCCAGGCCTCAAATGGCACCTGGATATTTGTGGGAAAGCTCTAGTCTCCCTGATGCCACCACTCCAGAGGTTTAGGGCTTCTCTCTGGCTTCTTATTCCAGAGGCCCCAGTGAGGCAGTGGAGGCAGAGGCTGCAGAGCACGTAGAGCACGAAGCTCCAGAAACCAAGAACAACTAGCTCTCCACCTCACCCGAGCATTCCCACCCCCCACTCCCCTGGCTTCTGGCTTCCATTGCTATACAGACAGCCCCAGTTCTGGCAGCTGGCTGGGCATTGTGGCGGGGGTGGCTCCACAGATAAAAATAGCCCCCCTGGTGGCAAAGCTGGGTTGCCATCCTGGGAGGCACTGTTGACATGGCAGCAGTGGTGAGAGAGCCCTCAGCACTGGACAGAGGAGCTACGGGTGGGGGTGGGATGAGGGAAGGGAATGGGGCAGGGCCTAGGGAAGATTGGAAGACAGTGGGGGAAGGACGGGAAACCAGGAGGGTGGAGAAAGGAAAAGAGGTAGGAGGTATTGGGGGGCAGGGAGGAAAGGAAAGGAGATTTGAAAGGTGCTGCATTAGAGAGGCTGGAAACACACTGAAGAAGTGGGAGAGACTGCTTTCAGATTCCTCCTGTGCCTGTGCCTTCTGACCAGAAGCCGTTTCTAACAGGTGTTCCTAGCAACAGCCCAGCACAACTCAGATCACATGAGGAAGGGAATAATCTAAGCAGCTTGAGCCTCAGCCCAGACCAATAAGAACCCAGGTGTCCCAGCTCCCAGCCAAGAACACAAATGAGTCACCTTTCCGTCAGACTTCAGCCCTTGAGAGAGGGAGGAACTGGGAGGGGTGGGTGAGAAGGTCAGAGGAAGGCAAACTGAAGAGGAGGCTCCCAGTACCCAGTCCAGAAGAACTCTTTCTCTGGTTCATTTGTCCACCCCTCTTTTCCCTCCCTACACCATTTGATTTTGCTCATTAACTACCTCCACATGGACCACCCCACCAGCCCTCCAAACCGCATCTCAACAGCTGTTCCCAGCAGATGCCCTGCTTCCATGGGGCCTAACAGATGTTGAAGGTAGTCTGGGATGGGAAAGTAAATTAAAAACTTGGCAAGAGTCTGACTGCAAGTGTGATGAGGGTAGCATCAGATTATGGATCAGCAGGATTTGACTCTGGTCCCAGCACTGCCCCGATTTTACTAACTATCTCTGGGGATTGTTCCTTCTCTGTAGTCTTTATGGTTCTCAGATTCAGGGACTGGGTTGGAGACACTGGGGAAGTAGGATGCTTGGGCCTTAATTTCCCAGTCCTGAGTTCATCCTTTCTGACTGGCTCACTGCTTCCCCAAATCAGCTCTAGCCCAGTGCTTAAAGGAGAAGGGTAGCTTTTTTCTTCATCAGAGAAAGGCCACATTCTAACCTTCATGAACTTTCCAGGAAGTTCTCGGGCATATCTGTCTTCAATTTATTTCACTGCAATTAAAAACAACAGCAAATTTTCTTGGCATTTCAGAGAAGAGCAGAAGGGGAGAGAACAGGAGGGACCAAGAAGTCTTTGAGGTATCTAGTGCAATTTGGTTTATTATGTATCTTCCAGATTGGAATTTCTAAAGCAGTTGCTTGGTAGAGAGATGCTCACGGTTTAGGAAGTTTGGCAATACTGTTGGCATGTGTGTTCACTCAGTTCAGGCCGCAAGAAGTTTCCAAACAAGGTGGGCACAGAGGAGAGAACAAGGGACACAGTGCCAAGCAGATATGCAAGATCTGATCAACAGGGGAGCAGGGAAGCCAAGGAATAGGAATAAAAGGAAAAACTTCCCTAGCCCCCAGGTCCTGCCTGCCAGAGAATCACTCAGCCTCTCCCTATGACCAGCACCCAGCCCCCAGCCCTCAACCCCCAGCCAGCCAAGCTCCCTTCCCAACCTAAATGGTGCCAACACCAGCTGGCAGCCTAATCACCCCACTGTAGCCACCATAATTATTTGCAAATCTGACTTCTCACTGCAGTTGTGGAATCAACTGACCTGGAAGTCTGGCTCTGTCCAACAGCACCACCTGAAGCACCCCCTTTCTAGCTCTTCTCCATGCCCTATGCCCCCAGGCCTTACCCCAAAAACAACCTGACCCTTCTCCCACCAAGCCTTCCTCTCTACCCAAACCCCAACACAGCTCCCTCAGTGCACCTTTGCCAGGTCTGAGTGCTGAAGTGGAATCTGAACCTGGTGTTTTCTTCTCAGACAGCAATAAGCTCCATACAGGCAACCCCAGCTGAGGGGAGAGGAGCAGTTGCAGGACTGAGGGATGCTGGGGCAGAGGGGCAAGAGCAGGGGCACTAGCGACCTTCCTGCATTGAATGGATAACAAGTTGATTTTATCCTTTTCCCTTCTCAGTCACCCTTTTTTTCCCTGCTCAATTCCCATCTATGCCCCTTCCTAAAAGAAGGGAAGAATGGTCCCACAGTTCTTAGACCATGTAGTCTTGCTCCCTTAGGGGACAATTTTATTATCTAACAACTTCCAGTCTCCCCAGTTGTCTCATCTCCACCCTACCTGCTGCCCTGGTTTTGTCCCTCTTTCTCTGCTGCTATCCTGAAGAGAGTTGGAAAATAGCTACTCAACTTCCATACCTGAGAAAAATCAGCCCCTTGAGATTCAAAGGCAATTACTTGACTTCCTCCCCAGAGGGACTAGGAGGATGAGGCCACTGAGAAGGCAAAAGACACGCCTTGCAGAAGACAGGAATCGGGACTGGACTCATAAGGCCCCAGAGGGCACCTATAGCAAGCTTATCCTGTACCATTACCACAGCAACCCCTCAGTGAGATGAGGGAGCCACAGGGATTTTCTGACCCCTAGCCAAGATGAGGGAGGAGAAGTACTGATGGCAAGAGTGAAAAGGTAAGTCAAAGGGAATGGGACACAGAGAGGAAGTGGGACAAGGGAGAAGAGCAAAAGGGAGCCTCACAGCAAAAGAGAACCCAGAGAAAGATGAGGCAAAGGAGAAGATAGAAGAATCAGAGAAGAGAAAATAAGAGAGAGCAGAGGAGTTGGACACAAATCCTCAAGAATTCCTTTAAAGACAAAAAGAGAGGGAAGACCTGTTTTCAAGGTTTTCTGCTCCTCCATCCCAGTCTGAAGGTGGCAGAAAGATTTTTTTTAAAGGTCGGTGGAATCTGGGAGATAGGGAGGCTACCATTGCTTTGATTTCAGGAACTCCCTGGCAGGGTGTAGTTATAGATGTGCACGCTTCTTTCCTGCTGAGCATCTCACCTGGCCGTCTAGTCCCATGCATCCCCAACCTCCTTCACCTTCCTCTGGGCAAAAGTGGTAGATGCAACCTCAAATGTGGAATCCTCTGTCTTTTTTCAAATCACTTCCTGAGGCTCCTGTACAAGCAGAGTGATGTTTGGATTCTAAGAGACTTCAGTAATTTTCTAAAATAGGATGTGGTATACCTGATAATACCCTCAAGCCTAGGGACTTGGGATAAATGTCAGAAGGGAATTCCCCAATGTTCATAGAACCCACCTACGGCAGCCCGTAGGCTTCCTATGCTCGCCATGTCTCAGAACTGCAATTGCTCCATCCACTTCCAGTTTGACCATTGGGAAAAGATGATAAGAAGGAAGTTCCTCTCCTTTCTTTTGACCTCAGTGGCCCACATCCTTCATAATATTGCCCTCCTCTAGCCCCACCTATCCTTCTGGTCTCTAAGCTCAGACACGTGCCTTCTCTCCTTCCAGATAACCATCAACAAAACTCCTTCAATCACAGCTCAAACCTATTAGGTAATTCATATTCCTACCTCTTGAATCTTTGTCTCCCTCATCCCAGCCAATAGTTGCCCATCCATTCCCATTCCCCTGCCTCTTCACAAAACAAGCTCTTCCATGCTGAAAAAGACCTTCAGTCTTTATCATTTAAAAGTTACTTTTACATGATGATATTAAATGAAGAACTGAGACTCAGAGGGACTATGTGACTTAAAGAGTACATAGTTGTAATTGTTAGAACAGAATGTGAACTCGAACTCAAGTCCCCCATTATTCGCCATGCCCTTCTACTACCACCACTCTGCCTCCCTGTTTCCCTCCCTCCAGCCACCTATCCTGACCAGAGGTTTATCAAGTTCTTCCTTGGGGCTGAATTTGATCCCCTACCTCTGCACCTTCCCTTCAACTTAAGGCAGGAATTTTCTACCCTCTACCTTCCCAGAGATACCACACAGTCCTCATTCAAGAGAAAGTTGATGGAGGAAATAGAGACAGAAGACATTTGATAGAAAAGTGCAGTATGAAACAGAGGAAGGAGAGATTCCCTTTGCCATGGCTGGAAGCAGAGAAGGAAGGACTAATCCAGTGAGGACAGCATTAAAAAACTATCCCTACCAAGGCATGAGAAAAATGACACTCCTTTTTCTCCAGAGGTCCAGGGAACCATAGTTTATGCTACAATCTTCACAGCAGCTCCACATCCATAGACAGAAAAAGGAAAATGGCAGCATGATATTCAAAACTGGTAAGAGCCATAGAAGATCACTCCATGGGGCATATACAAAAAGAGGGCAAAAGGCAGGGTTAAATCAATGAGGCATCCAGCCTCAGCTTCTTCCTCCCATCCACTAGATCTCCCCAGGAATGTCAAAAAATCTGAGTGTCACAAATACATACACAAGATCACACATAGGTATTATCCCATTACCTACATACACACATACATCATCTCATAACTAGGACAATTTCAGGTATTCAGGTAAGTGCACACCTTCCCAACACATTTATTGTTACACACGCCACTTATAAAAACAGATACATCTTCATGGAGCTCTGTCCCCAGCATACCTATCAACCTTTACCCAAACACATATGTATACGTGTCAGGCAGGCATTCACAATTTCATCCTAACATATCTCACACAATCCAAACGCCACAGTTTCTGGATCCTCTCTGTAACTCCTTCAGTTCCAGGCTCTGTCCTGAGGTCTCTAAACCCCATATCTTTTAAGCATCACTCTCTCAAAAAAACAACATCATCATCATCTCCCTTTCCTCCATCTCCATTTCCTACTCCTCCCCCCGCCACTCAACAAACACGGAGGTATACACGCACCACAGAATCAGAGACAGAACTGGACCTCATGACATATGTACATATATTCACTATTTCATTTGTTCATTCCTTTATTTAACAGCATTTATTGTGTGCCTGTTATGTTCAAGGTATCACACTAGACTCTGATGAAACAAAGATAAGCAAAAATAATCCCCAGTGGGGTTCCTGCTCCAGCTCATCTATAATGACCTTGAACCACAGCATAGAACATTGAGCCTAGACTTTGAGGGTCCTAAGTGTGCACCATGTGGGGAAAGAAGAAGAGAAAGGGACTATGTCTATACTGTCCCAAAGGAAGGGGGAAGTTCTATCTGTAAAACGTAAAATTCCAAGAGAAACTGGAGCAGAGAAAAGAGAGTGATGTTTGTACTATCCTGAGAAAAAGAGAATGCATATTTATGCTTTTCCTATGTATATAACCCCCTAAAGAAAAAAATGAGGCAGAAACCCAGAGTGGTAGAATTTCATCAGTTGGGTGGGTGTAGCAAAACAGGGAATACAGAGCCTCCCAACTCTCCACACCACTTGATGGAGTTGAAGCAGATTACAAGCTCTGTAGGAACAGGGACTATGTCTGTTTCATCCACCACTGACTGTATCCTCGGCATCCAGCATGCCACCTGGTCCATAGAAGGTACTCAAGAAATAGTTGTTGGATGAATAAATGAGCTGAGGATGGCAAACCAATGTCTGCTCATCATTTTTCTTGATTCACAAAAGACATAGAAAATTATTTCTACCTCTTCTGGTCTTCTTCCCGTTCCCTAAAGCCCTCTGATCTCAGAGAAGGGTGAACAGCCAAGTCAAAAATTTCCTCTTAGGGTTAAAAATGCTGAAAATCATCCTGGCCAACTCATCGTCTCCAGATGGCCTCTTTCACCCTCTCTTATGCCTCAGTTTATGAGTCTGCTTAATTAGGGAAATTGTCCTGAAGATAGAAGTAAAATCACACAGTTAAGAGACTCTCTTCGGTTCATATGATCCAGATTAGATTCTGAATTTATTTTTGACAGGGTCTTAGTGTGGGAAACATCATTCTTGAATGCTCTTCCCAACAAAAAATTGCCCTGCACGATTATATTAGTGTGGGCTTTTTATCCAGAGTCAAAAACACCAGGCCTAGACTCTCTGAAGAAAGTTTGGATGTCCTAATTAGAAATGAAAAGGGTAAAGGGGCAAAAATAGGATGTGTTGAGTAGAAGAATCTAGATAGATAGTTAGATAAATACATACAAGTATATATGCCATGTTTCCATTTCCAAGCAGTACCCAGTCCTAAGACATAAATCATGTCTATTTCCTATTTCCAGACTTAGCAACCCCTTTCCACCTTAACCAAAGGGGCAGGGGGATCTTTATTTCCACTTAAAAGGGGGAACACCTCCTTTCTCACCTCTTCAGAAAACATCCCATTGAGAGAGTTGGGAAACTCCCACCTCTTACCCAGCAAAGCCCTAAATCCTTTTATTTCCCTTCATCTGATAGTCAAAGCCTCCCCAGTATTCAAAAAGGCAAAATCCAGTAGTCCATGAACATAGATCAAGTTGGGATCTACCTTGATATCAAGGTCTTTCTCTGCTTTAAGGACGTGAGACTGGGAATCTATCCCTGCCAATTAATAATCAGGAGATTGTACTTTTTTGGGTAAGTTATATTCCATGTAACTAGCTTTATTTTTTACCTGTAAAAATAGATTATTGTACAAAGCTAGCATTCTTAAGGACCAGACTGCTAAAGTGAGTGAAGACCAG